TCCGTGTGGCGTGCACGCCCGTAATGGGCCGATCCTGGTAGGGACAGGTGCGCACAGCAGCATGTTCTTCCCTAAGGGAGGAAGCGGCTGTAGGTTGTCACACGCACACCTGAACTGCACATCCGTGCAAGTTCCGGTGTCTGCAGTTGGACGCAGACAGGAAGCATCCTTTCTATGTCCAAGTGCAGACACCCGTCCCCGCACAGATGACAGCATATAGCCGCATCCTCCCATAAAGAAGAACAGGCTGCTGCACACAATCCCACGCAGCACCTGTCCCTCCCGGGATCGGACGTGTATGCTCCATGCGAATGAGGCCTTAAAGTTCAAATGAAAAACGTTCCTAGTTCTCAGAGAGGACGTCAAACAGACAAATTAGTCAGAAAGTTATTGTCAAATTGACCGATGCTGCTGAACGCATCAAAGCTTAAAAAAACGGTCACAAGGGGATATGTGGTAATAAGGTTCCCCTCCCTAACGCCTCATAGACTGATTAGACTATGGGGGCTCCAGGGACATGCCACCTCTAGTTTATAGTTGAAAATTCTATTCAGATCTGAAATAGCTATTGGCAGACATCATGTAATTGGAGAAATGACAAAAATGAATAAACCGAAAATCTGCATTAAAACTGGCCAGCCAACATTTGAAGATAGAAGTCGTCCCCGAAGACTATAAAAGGGAAGTTTATGAAATCTGAACATCCAAACTGACAGGAGACCAAATGTCATGTTTCCGATTTTCCAGGAAGTAAAAAAAGAAAAGAAAAAAAAGTTGTGTAGTGTCTCAAACATACATTTATGTGGACAAAAGACCAACACAGAGTCCATAACACATCTGTAAGAGCTCATTCACACCTCATAGTGCATGTTAATGTGCACAAAACACTACATTGTTAACACATATTGTGGTGCTTTTTTGTTTCTTACATTCCCCCCTAACTGTATGCAATTCTTAGATGCTGCAGCTCTTTGTTATGTGTTACAGTGCATTGGAACACATTGCACAAAAATGCAAGAAGCCCTACTTATTTTCTGCGCACATCTCTGCAGTTCATTGGTATGAACTGAAATCAAAGGACAGAAGGCAAATTGCCTTATTGTGCTGGTACTGGGTTGGACAACACTGTGTTAATGGGCCATACACTACTGTCTCCCTCAGGGTCATCCCTATAATGAGGCAGCCCGAGGCTGTGGGGGGCGACAGGCCCTTTCCGGCCAGAGCATGCCAGGTTGCTAAGAGCCAGGCAGGGAGATGTGTAAGAGCCATACACATCCACCACCCAGCTCTTGGCAACGTGGGACGCTCCGGCCGGCTTCCCACTCTCTGACGTGTGATGCCACTGGTTGCCAGGAGCAAAGCGGGACACTCTGGCCGGCATCCTGCCCAGCTCCTGGAAACTACCCGCCGCCCTAAATGTGACCACCAGCACCCCCACCCTCAGGTGGTGATTATGCTAGGGACACCCCCTAGTCTCCCTGCTGGGAATCTGCAGCTTGTGTCCAACATCCATCTAAGTTTGGTGCCATTGTATGTACATATCACTGTGTAGACAATCCGCCTTCTTGTATATTGGTGCATTTCTCTGCAGATCACAGGGATAAATGGAAACATTCATATAGTGCTTTGTACATTAGTTAACAAATGCCTACAATTGTCCATTTTACTATGATACAGATTGACGGAAACTTTCAGCAATGGGAGCCTCTGTATACGTTTCTGTACAGATCATTTTACATTTGTCTTTGTTAATAGTTGCTTTGTAACCCACTTCCTCTATATCTCTAAGGTGCATTATGAAATGAAAGCAAACAGTTGCTATGGTCTGCACCACTGCTTTTCCTTGTACTTTAAAAATGACCACCTCAATAACCGATGCTAGCCATACAGGGCTAGGAAATCAATAGGTTTCTCTGCAGCGTGGATGAAGGAACAACCAGTGTTGGCTATTGTACACAGGCAGCCGCAGCACCCACACATGGGAACAGTGTTTTTGTTTAGAATTTTTTTTTTTCTTTTTTGATCCTCCAATTATGAGGTTCACACGTGATAATCAAGACTGGCAACTTTGGCTGTTACTTATTCTATTCATTGTACGCTGTTAGTTTAATCTTCATAAACATGTTGGAAACCCACATAAGGTATGACAGATTCTCAACCAGTGGTACACATAACTTATGGGACACCCCTAATAGGTTTAGGGGGTAACAATAGAAGCCGTAGTGGAACACGTGATGTATAACTGGTCTGAGTATTCTTAGTTATTTGCTAACATAAAAAATGGTTGAAACTGTTCATACACAATTACAATATACTGTTAATAAATGTAAACATGCTAAGATGCACTTGAACAATGACTACAGAGAGATGTGCATTGCTATCGGTGACTTCCTTCTTCTAAAATTCAGTTGTCTGGCTGCCATGCTTATCCAATAGTTTTAGTCTGGTGTTCTGTCGAAATAGCCAACTCACTAAGATATGCAACCATGTCACTACCAGTGACTTGCTAGCAGATTTCAGCAAGTTTGCGGTAATGCACATGCGCACGCACCCGGCTGCATAACAAAAAGCCCAATAGTAGAATACTTGTCAAGTTGTCCAACTGCTGTCAGTGCACATTTGCTGGTAAAAAACAAATTCAGCGGCTTTATTTCACTTAGTGCTTGTAGCGGCTTCTGTTTAATTATGTGGAATACACAGGATGCATTGATGGACAGGAAACCAGAATGGATTAAAAGATTCACCCATCTCCCTAACATTCTGTGTATTCCACATAATTAAACAGAACCCAGTATAAGCAGGAATCGAAACAACGTCACTGTATTAGATTTATACCAGCGCATGCTCACTGGCAGCAGTTGGACAACTTAATGAGTATTCTTATGGGCTTTTTGTTATGCAACCTGGTGTGCACGCGCACATGCTTACTACCGCTAACTCATGGAAAGTGACGCGGTTGCAGATCTAGATGAGTTGACTATTTCGACAGAACGCCGGACCAAATTACTGACTTGGATCAGCTCAACTCTGCAGGAGTTATGCCTTCTCTTCTATGCTTGCTCTAGGTCCCTGGCTCAAAGTATTAAAATTACTGAATGAGCATGGCAGCTGGCAACTAGCATTTTCAGAAGGAAAGGTCAGCAATGGCATCCTTCATATCTGTCTGTAAAGTTTCCTTTAATAGCATTGAGACAGAATGCAGCAAGACAGTGACATATTTTTTTTTTAAATGTGCTAGCACCCCCTAGTGGGAGGAAGTGAAATGGATTCTAGCTCCCCCCCTCCCTCTTTTGTCATGTATATGTGCGATATTAGATAAACCATGATATGCAACAGCTCATTTGCTTTGTATGTGAATGGATAGTAGTGAATTTGCTGTTTGTGTGTCACCAAAACTATTATTTTTCTCTAAAGACGGTCACATTATGGCTGCATATGCAACTCTCCTCCGATTCTGTGGCCACATTCTATTTTCTGATTAACCAAGACCTTTCCGTGTCACAAATGCATCACCAGAACAGATTACTGAGCTAAGATTGCTTGCCCATCAGTCATCGTGTCAATTAAGCATTCAACACTTTTCTGGCGTTGTGGCCATATCACAAACTCCTGCGCCAAACTCATAAAAGTTGTGCAACAGTTTTCTTGCTATTTGCGACTGCGTGCACCAAATTTCTTGCCATTCTTATGTCAGCAGCTTTTACATTCTGGAGCTATGCCTGAGACATCCATGAAGAAATACCAGTGTATCAGTGATACAAGTGGAGGTAACAAAACCTTTTCCATGTTGAAGTGAAATTGTATCGCACGCCAAGACAAAATTGTATCCAAGGCAAATTTGCAACAGTTTCATTTACACACCTAACCGACAGTTTTATGAATCTAAAACACATAAAGTTCCCAGCAAACTTACCAACTAGCCTGCAACAAAAAAGATTACCCTGTCCAACAGTGTGCATTAAAAACAGAGGTTTTAGTTACACAAACCTTTGGCCAGAAATATGTGGAAGCCACACTGCCCCATCAAGGCGCCTCTGTGCAGTGTGGTCCTAACTCTGATTTTGTCTCCATGTTGGAGCACATTTAAGCAGTTGATAAATTGAATGCAGGTATACCTGGAGGGAGCCCACTCCTCCTTAAAAGAGTCTCAACAAGTCACTAGCACACACAGATGAATTCAATATCTCTTTGATATGTTTATTGAAGAATGTCACAGCATGTCATTTAGAACCTCCTAATGACATGCTGTGACATTCTTCAATAAACATATCAAAGAGATATTGAGTGTGTGTGTGCCGGTGACCTGTTGAGACTATTCTGAGTTTTGCACAGCGCCATCCGTGTGATCACCATGAGCACCACCACCATTGGAAGGTTGCAGACCGTAAGCAGTGCAGGTGGTTTTTGGAAACAATCACACCTCCTTAAAGGTGTAGGGATGCACTAGAGGCCCAGCAATCCAAAATGCACGCCGGGACCCCCAGGTCATCCCCACACCAAACACAGTCAAGCTAGAAATACATGTTAAACGCACAACTTATAACCAGCCTTTGTTGTTTTCTTTGTTGTAAGCCCTTCCATGTGCTCCTTGCTACAAAGGCTGGTTATACATTGTGTGGTTACCATGTGTTTCTGCTTACATGAATCTGTCACGTTTCACCATTTGTTGCATGGAAGGTACACAGACTTCTAATGAGGGTTTATGACATTCTTTATGAATTCCAGAGATGGTTCTGATTCTAAATGATAATAATGCTGCAATCTCCCAATTAAAAACAAAAAAAGGGTCTGAGCGTTACATAGTTAGTCAGGTTGAAAAAAGACCATCGAGTTCAATGCCCACAATTACCCACTGTTGATCCTGATCCAGAGGAAGGCAAAAAACCCTATAAAGCATGATTCAATTTGCTCCAACAGGGGAAAAAAATCCATCCTGACCCCACAAGGCAATTGGATATTCCCTGGAATGAGTGATTGAGATATATTGAAGACAAAATATCCAACCTTAAAAAGATGGTTTTATTCCGCACAAACAGCTTTAAATACATTGTCCCATACAAGTAAGAAAACATTTGATTCATGAACATGATATATCAAAGGTTTCATGGACTAGTTGTATAATGGCACAATAAAAAATGAAATGTCTTTAGATATTAAGACAAGAAGAAGTACGCTACATCCTAAGAACAACCCACGTCCTACATACACTACGTTATCCACTCAGGGACAGCACTTTTCATATACGTCTCCTCCGCCTTCTAATGATCGTGAAGATTCCTTCATTTTAGGTAGCACCATTGAAAAGCATTTGCCAGCTGCTTACCTAGAAACAGAACTACCAAATAAGGTAAAGCTTTTAACCCGTCTGCTGCCAGAGGGCTTTAGAATATATTATCCAGCCACGCATTTCGAGCCCTTTTGAAGGGCTTAAAGGTAGTGTCAAGTGCAGCACTACACTGTGTAATATACTTGATGATTTCACAGCACAGTATATAAGTAAGGCTTTATAGAAGTGTTACAATACGCAGAGCAATGTTTCGGGATGAGGAGATGCTGCTTCATGGGATGGTTGTGAAATGCATTTCAATGTATGACCACATGCTGAGTTACAAACTGTAGCTTATGGGAGAATTCACAGTCCGGTCTCTTTTAACTCTCTCTTATGGAGACATCAGGCTCTAGCAGTTGTTGTTTTTTTAAGCAGACCATCTTGATTCTCTCTCTGATGTGTTCCGCTGTGGAGGCCATGTCACTTGGACTTCCAAAATACTGTTCACTTCTGCAAAACAAAATGAATTATTTTCATTCTCAAACATACAACTATAATCTTGAAACTCTATGCACCAATTAAAAGTATTCCACACAGCTGTAGATCTAGGGCACACTAGACAAAGTGGTTTTATGTGTATTTCATGCTGAAATCTGAGTACAGAAACATCAGCACACCAACAGATGAGTTTCAGATAGAGAAAGAGTTGACTTGACCTAACACCAATGTTTTGGGGTCACGATGGACCCCTTTAATATGGTAACAGACATTTGTAACTTTAATAAAAGGGTCCCATGCAGCCCCAAAACTCATCATTTGGAGTGCTGGCATTTCTGTATGGTTTGGGTTTGCAGTTGCTCAATGGCTGTTTACACTAAAATATCTGGCCCATGAGGGATGAACGTTTTTAATGCGTTGACACAGAAACCTCAGGCCACAAACTACTATACTGGGCTCTTGGTGCCCACAGCTAACATTATGTCTGAGTTGAGCACTTTTATAGCCTCATTGGACCATTTTGTTTTTTTGCCAACTTCACATTGAAGTGAAAGCATGGCATGCCAAAGGTCTACAAAAGAGAAATGCCATACCCATCAGGATAAATTACAGGCACTGTTAATCTATCTAGCAGCGATTTCCCAACAGCTTCAACTTCATCAAATTGTTCAAAATCCAGCACAGACTCTGGAAGGTCTGGACTTTCTTGTAAGATCTGAAAGAGGAAATCCAAAATAAATAGTAAAATGGTTAGCTAACCTCACATACAGTTTTGTTTTAGCATTTTACAATTGACATCATAATGATTAAAAGGGAATCCATCACGAAGCAAAACATCTGCCTAAGAAGGCTTTGATGAAAGCAGCCATTACTCAGCCTGTGTCACATACTAATTCTGAGGCTGAGCTCAGTGAACAGGTTTGTCTTCACTGCCTCAGAGTTAGTATGACAGATTCCTTTTAAAATGCAGACTTATGTTTTCTACTTGATAGTTGTCTTCAATTTTTAAAAGTGGACCTGTTGCCCTTCCCAGAGGAGACAGAGAACCTATGGGCCTAGCTATTCGTTACATTAAACTGCAGTTGCTCATTAACAATGAAAGCATTTCGGAGCTTCTTCAAGCCACCGTCCAAGAGGCTTGGAGAAGCTACAAGTCTTCAATGTTACAGAACAAGTTCAGTTTAAAGCTATTGCTATACCATGACCTGTATAACTGAGAGCCCTTCACAGAGACAATCTAAGGGTCTTTTGTTCATTCTAAATGGGTTTTGTATTCCCATATAGTTCTACGAGAATTTGAAACCTGCTTGAAGTAGGTCCAAGTACAGGTCAAACACACCTATTAATGATCAGTGTCTCAAACTCAAGTGAGGCTGACACCCATCAAAACAAGCCCACAACCTGGTAACTTATTCTGAGCTGGAATTACATATCAAAATATCCAGCTCATCAGTTCATTAGGAAACTGACAATGCATAAGGCATGAAGAGATCACACTAGTTCCCATTGAACTGATTGTCTCTTGAACTTTTATTCTCATTTAGGGTGGAGGGAGAAGAGATCAACTTCTGATGGATAAACTCAGTAAACAATATTCAAGTGAGCTCTGGTATCTAGTATGTACTTTAATGGAGTTTGTGAAATTTGTTTTGTTGCCAATTATTAAAAAAGCTTCAAAATATGGTAAGTACAGTAAACTCCCAGTTATTAGGCACCCACAGGGATCGCTAGGTGCCGGATAACTATTTTCTGGTTGCTTGAGAGTTAATATGAACTCTCAAGAAACTATTCCCCTGCGGCGCCTGCTTCCTCTTGCAGCCCCATTCACCTGCCAGCTAGCTTCCGCAGCCTACAGGTGAATGCAAGTAGCCAGGAGCAATAGCCAGACTGCTATTGGCTATTTCAAATTGCAATAGCCAATAGCAGGCTGGCTGTTGAAGCCCTGCCCACTGAGCAGAGGAGTGGACCTGAGAGAGAAAGTTCTCCCTCAGGTCTACTCCTCTGCTCAGTGGGTGGGTGCAATAGCTAGCCTTTTATGTAACAAACATAAGGTTGTGAAGAAGACAGTCAGCATAAATACTATGCCAGTGTTCAGTATTAGAACATCATTTTTCTAACAGATGGCCGAGAGCAGATCTAGAAGTGATTACTTTGCTTGGTAAAGTTTAGAAATGTACTGGCTCCCCTGATGATATCCTCTCCTTTGCTGCTGCTCAGTATTCTCCATCTCACCCATTAACTTTAATGTATTATAGAGAATGAAGAGATACATTTTGAACAGCTGGACGTTATTATCAGAGCTGTAAAGTTTAAATGGGAACTTCAGTCAGATCAAAAATCCCCAGTACATATAAGTAATATATATACAAGTAATAAGATTATGTGTGAGCACTAGAATTACCTCCATAGCCCGACTCTGGGTGATGAAAACTAGGGATGCACCAATACCGATACTAGTATCGATATCGGTGCCGATACCGAGTATTTGGGCAAGTACTCGTACTCGTCCAAATTTTTCGATGCCTAGCTCGATACTTCCTGTATCAGGAAGCCGGGCAGCGCTTCATTACACGCTGCCCGGTTTCCTGATTGGCTCCATGCTTCCTCGTCACTTGTGAGCCCGGCTAATCAGGAATCTAGGTGGCGAGTCATTACACGCCATCTGGCTTCCTGAATGAGACTTCCCGTACTCGGTAATTGGTATCGGCGAGTACCGGGAAAAAATATATATCGGTACTCGTACTCGGTACCAAAATACCGGTATCGGTAAATCCCTTATGAAAACAAACTTACAAAAGTGCATTTGTTTTTATTAAAAATTAAAGATCAGACATATGCAAAACCTACACTAAAACCTGATTACTAATGTTGTATTTTGTTTAGAGTTGTCCTTTAACTTCATGTTTACATGTAGGTTGCCTCACACCACTGTCCACCAGAAATTGTATCAATAGCTTTGGTTGGAGTTCTTTAAAGGGAACTTATCAGGACAGAAATATGAGAGCTACCATTGCTGAATTCTTTTTACAGATGAATTCCAGCAAAACAGCTACACACAGCTTTACTTGCTGAAGTATTTGTACTTGGGTCCATTCAGTTCTGAGATGCACACAGCACAGCCACTTTCTCTTTTATAAACTGTAGATAGGAAAAAGTTGTCCCTGATATGTTTGGAAACTGCCACTTCTGTACAGAGAGAATATTTCCAAATAGATGCCATTTTTTTGTGTGTAATAACCATGATTACAGCATGCCCAATATCTATCTAAAAGCCCCAAACAACAAAGTACATGCACTTAAAACCATTCTGAAGGAATCATTCAATCCACTCCAAACACTTCAGCGCCGTGCTCTTGAAAATGAAAGAACTCTATTGTACAGGAAAGCAAGAAGCGCTTTACAGCAGTGCACGTGACCTTTAAATGACTGTAGCTGCTCGGCTTGGGTCATATGCAAATGGATCTAACCTTTTCGGCATTTGAGTGAAAAGCGAGTGCCATTTCCAGCCGGTGAACCCTCTCTTCTGAGGTTATCGTAAACTGTTTCCATACTCTGTTGAGTTTTGGAAGTGTGTCCCCTGATGACCTTGACGTACATCTCAGAGACTGACATAATACAACCGTGGCTTGCAGTAACTGCCGCCCATAATCATATGTACTCTGTAGAGAGGACCAAAAAAAAGGGAAGAAATTACAGATGAGAGGAAACACAATTATTTGTTCTGATTGCTAAATTTAAGAGGTCAGATACAGAAACTTTGCTTTCCAGCTAGAATTAACAGGAAATGTTAAGGGTGGTCGTCTAGTGTTACGGTCTAGCAGGCCAGTAAAGAAAAAAAAAAACCTGATGCAAAAGAAAATCCAACCAGAGCAACTAAACACTCGCGCTTTCATCATCTTCCGTACTACAACAGGGAAAGTAGGAATTGGATTGTTAAGATTTTCTTATTTTATGCTATTTTTTCCATAAATGAGCCCTGTGGTAATTGATTTTACACCAGAATATATTTTAAATGACATATTCGTCTATAGACTTTATGGGGCTGATTTATTTCATCTTCTTATGGAGGTTTCTGCCTTTTTTAACGCACTCTTGTGAGTACATTACTGTTCATTACTATTATTAAAGCATTTCTTCACTTGCATCAGGTACTCTGTGTACTTCTCTCTTTGTACTACTAAGGTTCCCTGACATTTTGGAGCAGCCTCCTATGTAATTGAAGTGTGTCAAGGAGAAGATTACTAGCTGTCTTGTGCGCTGGAAGTGGATTTTTTTGTTTAATCTTCTGCCTGCCACTAGATGGAGCCAAAGAGCATATACATTTTCTATACTCTTTAGCACCGTCCAGTGGTGGAAATACTGTGCCAAAGCCATTCACCCAGTGTATGGTTGGGAGGAAGATTTATAAATCAGCCACTATGTATCACATACATGGCATGCACTGGGTTTCAGTTTTTGGAGGATGCCCATTAACCTACCAGTATGTTTTGACAATGTGGAGGAAACACACTAAGGCTGGGTTCACACCTAGGCGTATTGAATATGCGCATTTTTACCGCGATTCGCGACAAACACGCGTTTCCGAGGGCTACTTGGCTGTATCCCAATGGAAACGCGAGACCAAAACGCCCCAAAGAAGTACATGTACTTCTTTGGGCGTAGGCCGTTTTGTAGCGAGTTCGGACGGGCGGAAATACGGAAAGGTGTGAACCAGACCCATTGAATACAATGGGATTTAGATGTTTGAGCGTTTTGTAGAGCGCTCGTCGAGCGTTGAACGCGCTACAAAACGTTCAGGTGTGAACCAGGCCTTAGACATGGGGAGAGCATGTAGATTTCTATAGGGCGATGTTTCAGATCAAATTGAAAACCAGGACCCAAAGCTGCAAGTACTAATCAAAATTCTGTTTCATGTTACTATGTGGCTCTCTTTTTAAAGGGACCTTGTCACCATCACGTTGAGGTGGGATATATCAGGAAGCTCCAGCACCACCAAGATGTGCCAAAGCTTTACTGATGAGAAGGCCAAGAAATCAGCTGTAGTGGCAGGGCTTGGAGGATGCTGTAGTCATGTCCAAGCAATTTTCTATACCTGACAGTTTTGTTTTTTTTAGCCAGAGTTACATTTTGTGATCCCAGTGACATTGCGGATGTTTGCAAACTGCACTTCCTATAATATGCTGTGCCAGAACCACCTTGGGGCAGTGACCCAGGCAATAAGGCTACTTATATGGACAGTGATTTTGACGCACAGTACACCACATATTATTTCCCAGCTCCCTCACTGCTATTGCTCACTGTATTTCGCCCCCTGTAAAACCAACTAATGATGCTCTCCCCTCTGGTACAATGACTCAAAGGATGTATCTAGCAACAAATGCCCAAAAAACCCTGCAGAAAAAGTGGTGTAAGAATAAAACAGACCATTAGAACCTGCAAAAGTAAAACCACTACTTACACTGAAGCGTTTTCACAAAACCAAATAATCCTAGTATGTTAAAATGTGCAAATATGAAATTCTTGTGTGCCTAGAGTTATGCTTTAAACCAACTCAGACATGCAACAGATAATTGAATTTCCTTTTTATATGGATAAAACCAAGTAAACCTTCAATGACTATTTTCAACATCAGCCACGTTGAATGAGACTACTTAGAACTGGGCTGACTAATCTGTAGGGACCCAATGGTTGTATGGGGTCTTGTTCTGTCATACTTGGCAGACATGCTGACAGACTAATTGCTACAGAAGATCCAACAACATAGACGCACACAGAACTCTCAGTAGAAAATAAAAGAGAAGCATACTTTTATTAAAAAATTAAGGGTTGCTATAGGCAATTAATATATTGCCAAGCCATGAATAAAAATCAGTACCATTTGACAGATAAATCCCTTCCAACAACTTCTGGGCCTGCATGCTGTGTTAACATCCTATGCTGCTGGTCAGCACAGTGACTTAGTAGTTGTCATTCCTGACTTACAGCACTAGGCTACTCGGTTTCATATCCCAACCAGGACACTACCTGCATGGCGTTTGTTCTCTCTATGATTATGTGGGTTTCCTCCCACATTCAGGGACATGGTAGATTAACTATCTCTTGTCTAAATTGACCCAAGTATACATGCATGTGAAGTAGGGAACTTCGATTGTAAGCTCCTTGAAGGCAGGGACGGATGTGATTGTACAGTATGTATACTGATGTGAAAACTTTTAGAGTTATATAAAATCCCTGTAATAAATGATATAAAAATTACTTCTGAGATAAGGATGGAGTGAGGTTAGGCTGGATTGCAGTGCATAATTGCCAGACTTATACAGACCCATAATCTCTAAGCCTGATGAAGGGGACCCTGCGAGGCCCCGAAAGCACTTGCCAAAGAGATACAGCTACTGGCAATAAAATATTTTGCTTTTTCAACTCATGGTGTGCTGGCGACATTTTTCTACTGTTCATGTGTGGCGGTGCCATCCGCAGTCATTTCGAGCACCCATCTTCATCAAGTGAGAATCCCGGTAAGGAGTGCGGTATGGTTCCTGTTTCTGTTTATACAGACCCCACCCCCCTCTAACCCTTCTAGTCCACTGTCTGCCCCTTATATTAATATTAAGACCACCAAATATCATAAACCCTGCATCAGCCCCATAAGGCCAGGCAGAAGGGATTGCTCTGAGAAAAATGTATTAGTTATATACACAATATGGCAGGTTATTGGGGTCCTGTACTTTAACAAATGTAGATCCTATTCAGTTTAAAGCTATTGCTATACCATGACCTGTATAACTGAGAGCCCTTCACAGAGACAATCTAAGGGTCTTTTGTTCATTCTAAATGGGTTTTGTATTCCCATATAGTTCTACGAGAATTTGAAACCTGCTTGAAGTAGGTCCAAGTACAGGTCAAACACACCTATTAATGATCAGTGTCTCAAACTCAAGTGAGGCTGACACCCATCAAAACAAGCCCACAACCTGGTAACTTATTCTGAGCTGGAATTACATATCAAAATATCCAGCTCATCAGTTCATTAGGAAACTGACAATGCATAAGGCATGAAGAGATCACACTAGTTCCCATTGAACTGATTGTCTCTTGAACTTTTATTCTCATTTAGGGTGGAGGGAGAAGAGATCAACTTCTGATGGATAAACTCAGTAAACAATATTCAAGTGAGCTCTGGTATCTAGTATGTACTTTAATGGAGTTTGTGAAATTTGTTTTGTTGCCAATTATTAAAAAAGCTTCAAAATATGGTAAGTACAGTAAACTCCCAGTTATTAGGCACCCACAGGGATCGCTAGGTGCCGGATAACTATTTTCTGGTTGCTTGAGAGTTAATATGAACTCTCAAGAAACTATTCCCCTGCGGCGCCTGCTTCCTCTTGCAGCCCCATTCACCTGCCAGCTAGCTTCCGCAGCCTACAGGTGAATGCAAGTAGCCAGGAGCAATAGCCAGACTGCTATTGGCTATTTCAAATTGCAATAGCCAATAGCAGGCTGGCTGTTGAAGCCCTGCCCACTGAGCAGAGGAGTGGACCTGAGAGAGAAAGTTCTCCCTCAGGTCTACTCCTCTGCTCAGTGGGTGGGTGCAATAGCTAGCCTTTTATGTAACAAACATAAGGTTGTGAAGAAGACAGTCAGCATAAATACTATGCCAGTGTTCAGTATTAGAACATCATTTTTCTAACAGATGGCCGAGAGCAGATCTAGAAGTGATTACTTTGCTTGGTAAAGTTTAGAAATGTACTGGCTCCCCTGATGATATCCTCTCCTTTGCTGCTGCTCAGTATTCTCCATCTCACCCATTAACTTTAATGTATTATAGAGAATGAAGAGATACATTTTGAACAGCTGGACGTTATTATCAGAGCTGTAAAGTTTAAATGGGAACTTCAGTCAGATCAAAAATCCCCAGTACATATAAGTAATATATATACAAGTAATAAGATTATGTGTGAGCACTAGAATTACCTCCATAGCCCGACTCTGGGTGATGAAAACTAGGGATGCACCAATACCGATACTAGTATCGATATCGGTGCCGATACCGAGTATTTGGGCAAGTACTCGTACTCGTCCAAATTTTTCGATGCCTAGCTCGATACTTCCTGTATCAGGAAGCCGGGCAGCGCTTCATTACACGCTGCCCGGTTTCCTGATTGGCTCCATGCTTCCTCGTCACTTGTGAGCCCGGCTAATCAGGAATCTAGGTGGCGAGTCATTACACGCCATCTGGCTTCCTGAATGAGACTTCCCGTACTCGGTAATTGGTATCGGCGAGTACCGGGAAAAAATATATATCGGTACTCGTACTCGGTACCAAAATACCGGTATCGGTAAATCCCTTATGAAAACAAACTTACAAAAGTGCATTTGTTTTTATTAAAAATTAAAGATCAGACATATGCAAAACCTACACTAAAACCTGATTACTAATGTTGTATTTTGTTTAGAGTTGTCCTTTAACTTCATGTTTACATGTAGGTTGCCTCACACCACTGTCCACCAGAAATTGTATCAATAGCTTTGGTTGGAGTTCTTTAAAGGGAACTTATCAGGACAGAAATATGAGAGCTACCATTGCTGAATTCTTTTTACAGATGAATTCCAGCAAAACAGCTACACACAGCTTTACTTGCTGAAGTATTTGTACTTGGGTCCATTCAGTTCTGAGATGCACACAGCACAGCCACTTTCTCTTTTATAAACTGTAGATAGGAAAAAGTTGTCCCTGATATGTTTGGAAACTGCCACTTCTGTACAGAGAGAATATTTCCAAATAGATGCCATTTTTTTGTGTGTAATAACCATGATTACAGCATGCCCAATATCTATCTAAAAGCCCCAAACAACAAAGTACATGCACTTAAAACCATTCTGAAGGAATCATTCAATCCACTCCAAACACTTCAGCGCCGTGCTCTTGAAAATGAAAGAACTCTATTGTACAGGAAAGCAAGAAGCGCTTTACAGCAGTGCACGTGACCTTTAAATGACTGTAGCTGCTCGGCTTGGGTCATATGCAAATGGATCTAACCTTTTCGGCATTTGAGTGAAAAGCGAGTGCCATTTCCAGCCGGTGAACCCTCTCTTCTGAGGTTATCGTAAACTGTTTCCATACTCTGTTGAGTTTTGGAAGTGTGTCCCCTGATGACCTTGACGTACATCTCAGAGACTGACATAATACAACCGTGGCTTGCAGTAACTGCCGCCCATAATCATATGTACTCTGTAGAGAGGACCAAAAAAAAGGGAAGAAATTACAGATGAGAGGAAACACAATTATTTGTTCTGATTGCTAAATTTAAGAGGTCAGATACAGAAACTTTGCTTTCCAGCTAGAATTAACAGGAAATGTTAAGGGTGGTCGTCTAGTGTTACGGTCTAGCAGGCCAGTAAAGAAAAAAAAAAACCTGATGCAAAAGAAAATCCAACCAGAGCAACTAAACACTCGCGCTTTCATCATCTTCCGTACTACAACAGGGAAAGTAGGAATTGGATTGTTAAGATTTTCTTATTTTATGCTATTTTTTCCATAAATGAGCCCTGTGGTAATTGATTTTACACCAGAATATATTTTAAATGACATATTCGTCTATAGACTTTATGGGGCTGATTTATTTCATCTTCTTATGGAGGTTTCTGCCTTTTTTAACGCACTCTTGTGAGTACATTACTGTTCATTACTATTATTAAAGCATTTCTTCACTTGCATCAGGTACTCTGTGTACTTCTCTCTTTGTACTACTAAGGTTCCCTGACATTTTGGAGCAGCCTCCTATGTAATTGAAGTGTGTCAAGGAGAAGATTACTAGCTGTCTTGTGCGCTGGAAGTGGATTTTTTTGTTTAATCTTCTGCCTGCCACTAGATGGAGCCAAAGAGCATATACATTTTCTATACTCTTTAGCACCGTCCAGTGGTGGAAATACTGTGCCAAAGCCATTCACCCAGTGTATGGTTGGGAGGAAGATTTATAAATCAGCCACTATGTATCACATACATGGCATGCACTGGGTTTCAGTTTTTGGAGGATGCCCATTAACCTACCAGTATGTTTTGACAATGTGGAGGAAACACACTAAGGCTGGGTTCACACCTAGGCGTATTGAATATGCGCATTTTTACCGCGATTCGCGACAAACACGCGTTTCCGAGGGCTACTTGGCTGTATCCCAATGGAAACGCGAGACCAAAACGCCCCAAAGAAGTACATGTACTTCTTTGGGCGTAGGCCGTTTTGTAGCGAGTTCGGACGGGCGGAAATACGGAAAGGTGTGAACCAGACCCATTGAATACAATGGGATTTAGATGTTTGAGCGTTTTGTAGAGCGCTCGTCGAGCGTTGAACGCGCTACAAAACGTTCAGGTGTGAACCAGGCCTTAGACATGGGGAGAGCATGTAGATTTCTATAGGGCGATGTTTCAGATCAAATTGAAAACCAGGACCCAAAGCTGCAAGTACTAATCAAAATTCTGTTTCATGTTACTATGTGGCTCTCTTTTTAAAGGGACCTTGTCACCATCACGTTGAGGTGGGATATATCAGGAAGCTCCAGCACCACCAAGATGTGCCAAAGCTTTACTGATGAGAAGGCCAAGAAATCAGCTGTAGTGGCAGGGCTTGGAGGATGCTGTAGTCATGTCCAAGCAATTTTCTATACCTGACAGTTTTGTTTTTTTTAGCCAGAGTTACATTTTGTGATCCCAGTGACATTGCGGATGTTTGCAAACTGCACTTCCTATAATATGCTGTGCCAGAACCACCTTGGGGCAGTGACCCAGGCAATAAGGCTACTTATATGGACAGTGATTTTGACGCACAGTACACCACATATTATTTCCCAGCTCCCTCACTGCTATTGCTCACTGTATTTCGCCCCCTGTAAAACCAACTAATGATGCTCTCCCCTCTGGTACAATGACTCAAAGGATGTATCTAGCAACAAATGCCCAAAAAACCCTGCAGAAAAAGTGGTGTAAGAATAAAACAGACCATTAGAACCTGCAAAAGTAAAACCACTACTTACACTGAAGCGTTTTCACAAAACCAAATAATCCTAGTATGTTAAAATGTGCAAATATGAAATTCTTGTGTGCCTAGAGTTATGCTTTAAACCAACTCAGACATGCAACAGATAATTGAATTTCCTTTTTATATGGATAAAACCAAGTAAACCTTCAATGACTATTTTCAACATCAGCCACGTTGAATGAGACTACTTAGAACTGGGCTGACTAATCTGTAGGGACCCAATGGTTGTATGGGGTCTTGTTCTGTCATACTTGGCAGACATGCTGACAGACTAATTGCTACAGAAGATCCAACAACATAGACGCACACAGAACTCTCAGTAGAAAATAAAAGAGAAGCATACTTTTATTAAAAAATTAAGGGTTGCTATAGGCAATTAATATATTGCCAAGCCATGAATAAAAATCAGTACCATTTGACAGATAAATCCCTTCCAACAACTTCTGGGCCTGCATGCTGTGTTAACATCCTATGCTGCTGGTCAGCACAGTGACTTAGTAGTTGTCATTCCTGACTTACAGCACTAGGCTACTCGGTTTCATATCCCAACCAGGACACTACCTGCATGGCGTTTGTTCTCTCTATGATTATGTGGGTTTCCTCCCACATTCAGGGACATGGTAGATTAACTATCTCTTGTCTAAATTGACCCAAGTATACATGCATGTGAAGTAGGGAACTTCGATTGTAAGCTCCTTGAAGGCAGGGACGGATGTGATTGTACAGTATGTATACTGATGTGAAAACTTTTAGAGTTATATAAAATCCCTGTAATAAATGATATAAAAATTACTTCTGAGATAAGGATGGAGTGAGGTTAGGCTGGATTGCAGTGCATAATTGCCAGACTTATACAGACCCATAATCTCTAAGCCTGATGAAGGGGACCCTGCGAGGCCCCGAAAGCACTTGCCAAAGAGATACAGCTACTGGCAATAAAATATTTTGCTTTTTCAACTCATGGTGTGCTGGCGACATTTTTCTACTGTTCATGTGTGGCGGTGCCATCCGCAGTCATTTCGAGCACCCATCTTCATCAAGTGAGAATCCCGGTAAGGAGTGCGGTATGGTTCCTGTTTCTGTTTATACAGACCCCACCCCCCTCTAACCCTTCTAGTCCACTGTCTGCCCCTTATATTAATATTAAGACCACCAAATATCATAAACCCTGCATCAGCCCCATAAGGCCAGGCAGAAGGGATTGCTCTGAGAAAAATGTATTAGTTATATACACAATATGGCAGGTTATTGGGGTCCTGTACTTTAACAAATGTAGATCCTAAGCACAGAACAGTATGACCCCAGGAAAGTCAATGGCATTTACCTGGGCAACATCCACAAATTTTCGGTGCTTTTCTATCAAAATTTTTGTTTCTTGGCTGTCGTCTCCCAGTCTGACGTGCGTCTTTAACAAGGCATCCAGTAATTCGTTTAACCAGTCTACTGCCTAAATAAAATCAATAAGCAATTTTAATATAGCAGATTACATCTATGACAAAATCAGACCTCAATAACATCAAATGGACTGCTGCCCTGCAAAATATACCATGACTATATAAAATATAACAAACTTTTTACTGACCGGAAAGCCTATAAAGCCTCCTTTATAAACCAAGAATAGAAAAGTGACAGCTGGAATCTGACTGGGCAATGGCTCCATATTTACACATGGACACCGAGTCCTCATTTAGACCGGACTAGTCGCCTGAGTTCCAGATTTCTGGGGTCTAAACTTATTGCTGCTTTTTCTGCACATATCTGTCACAGTAGCCGAGTGCTAACATGGGGACTTGAAACAGATGAAGCAAAGATATGCACACTCAGCAAACTCTGTTTATGTCACAGGAGTTCAACACTCACTGAACGTCTTATATATAGGTAAAAAGAAACGATATATTTCAGAGGTCTTTAGGAGCGCCCCTTACAAAAAATCCAACGGATTGATCTGAACAACATAGGCACTTCTGTTTACTGCACTCACCATACATCAGACCCATACGTTTTTATTTTCACCTTTCATGTTTTATCCAATATAACATTGCATATTCCTTTTATTATTAAGTATAATTGTTAGCTTCATTGTCAATTTAGTTATAGTACGGTAAAAGCAATGATCTCCACACAGAGCCAGCTGTCAGTCGCGCAGCTGGGCGAATCCAGACATAATTGTTGGGATCCGCTTTAGCTGCGGCGTCTCAGTATACTGCAAGCTGTAGCTCGCAGTATACTGAGCCTAGGGTGACGGGAGGACGCTAGTTTGTGTCCTCCCGTTACCCTAAGGAGAACTATGGGGAAAAGCCTTAACCCCATAGTTCTCTTTTAAATCTTCCTTATGAGGATACAGACAGCAGTAAAAACCCACAGTGACCTGGCAGAAGAGCCGGGCACCACTCATCTGCATGTCTAACAAGAGCCAACTTCGTGTAATGTACATACAGTACTACGACCCAGACCCAAAAAGGTGGGCACTCGTCGTCGGCACGAGCCCGGTAGCATTACGACTGAAATGCTGCGCGGTACACTTTGGCTGCAGCCTGGGACCCCCTGCTGTACAGTAATAGCCTCTGTTTGTAAGTAGGGGTCGTACGTAGGTCGGATGTTTGTAACTCGGGGACTGCCTGTATTCTAAGCCAAGTAAAAAAAATCAGTAAACCAAGGAAATGTCCAGTACAAAACAAGTAATCCTAGCAGACTGGTGTTACTTAGGGCACTTAAGAAGGGGAGCTAGGAACATTTTTGTTAATACATGAGCATGTACTTTAACACACACACATGTGAAGAAGCCTTTAATGGTTATAGGGGCCCCAAGCCTAAAACAGTCATACACATGGAGGAATTTATTCCCCTAGGAGTTATGTGTTCGCAAACCTCTTGCTGTCTTAGCTGCCAAAGTGGGAGTATGACAGATCTCACTTCCAATACCATAAATCACAAATTGACAATAAGTACAGGTTCCGTAATTTTATTATTGTATATTAATTTTCATTTACAACTTTAGATTTTGCATTTTGTATCTCATCTTTTATTGATAAAACTCTACCCTGACTAGCTGCAAGCCAGCCCATTTCAGCAGTTCAATAAAGTGCATCTCCTCTGTTCCACGTGAAGGATCGGACTCACAAAGATGGAAAGACTGAAGGATCATCATCAACTATTACCATGCATATATTTAGCATCAATCAATCATTTCCGAGACAGAGCTTTTCTTCCTTCCAATATATTCTTTATTGCGGATTTGTGCAGAGCAAAATCTGACATTGTGAATATAAATTGGCAGGCAGTAGAGGAAACGCCGAACATCTCAGCAAGGAGCAGGAAAAGAATAAATAGTCTTATGGGGAAAAGATAATGTTATGCATTTGCCTGAGTCATTAGATGTGATCCTGTACTTTGCTAAAAAGAAAAACTGCAACCAATGCAAAGTCATATTTCATTGTTCAGTTCTCATCTACTGGAAACTAAAATCTTAGGGCCAACTCCACCTAAAACCAAGAAGTCAGTTTTGCATAGTAATTTGCAGCTGCATTTGTAGATCACGAGGGAAGTCCTATGCTGAGATCAGAATGCTCTGTTCCACTCAACTGCTTGGCCCCTGCAGAGCTAAACAAAGGTGTGACAAATGTGCAACACCCTTCTTAAGGGCCCGTTAGACACAATACAAAATACTGCAGGAAAATCTAATACGAACTTGCTGGTGGTTCACTAATGGATGAGAGAGATTTATAGTAATCAAGAACTTTTCCCCTACTGCTGCCCGCAGGTTCTGCTCATTTCCTTCCTTTAAACCATGGGTAGGCAAACTATGGCACCCCCAGCTGTTTTGGAACCACAAATCTCTTGAGGCATTGCAAGATTCTCACAGCCACAGATGCATGATGGAATTTTTAGTGTCACCACAGCTGGGGGGGCAGAGTTTGCTCACCCTTACTTTAAACCCACCACCATGAAACTCTCCCAGCCATCGGGTCCACAACCTTCATGGACAAGCTGCATTTGTAGAGCAGCTTGTCCACGACCAGCTGCTCTACAAGTGATTCGGGAGGATCACTGGTACAAAAACAAGTGCCGTCTAAACACACTCACACACACACACACACACACACAACTGGATGGACCCTGGTCTTTATTCAACCTTACATACTATATTCTCCCGCTGTGCGAAGCAGGGTTAAATGTAGAAAAATAACTACCCGCACCCGGGTCCCCTGTATAAAGATAGATTTTAGGTGATTACAATCTATATATGGTATTATAAGTTGAAGAATGATTTTATGACTTTTGAAGAAATACCAAAAAGAACTAATAGGTGCTATATATTATTCCAGAGTTGTTCAATAAAGATCATGTTGTCTATTTCACTAGAATAAGCAGCAGTCTTCCTATTTCAGTCCACTACTTTCAGTTTATTCGCAATAATAAAGAGACCTGACAGCACCAATTTACAGAAGGATGCAAACACTGCTGTAATTCTTACTTGTGCTGCATCTTCTTCACACTTAAACAGCTGGACCATCTGTAACATTTTTAACCTCCGGACATCCACCATATCTTCACACCTATAAAAAGAATTTCATATTTTCAGGTCAAAAAACATTTCTTTATGAGGTATTTCCTGTCTATAATCTATGCAGGAAAAAAATATAAAAAAATCAAACCAGAAATTATTTCTGCTTCTGTTATGGATTTCCAGTACATTAGAGTAACAGACTGGTTTTGCATTCCCATACAACTCTATGAGAATGCAATACCTGCTTGAAGCAGGTCAGAGGGAGGTCAACTGCAGGTCATATGCACATGTCTGTGAATTCTGAATGTTTTAGAACCGTCTCTAACTGATGTCTGGCTAATTCTCTGGCTAATTCTCCCTGTTGTTTACATTTTGCTGCTGACCACACAATCTGGCAGAAAGATGTAATCAAAGAATTTCATTAGCAACTAATTATTTTAGTGTGCACCAAGCAACAGGCAATTTTTTAGTGTGTGTCAATGGGGAGTTTACTGCATGTGGTTGACCAAGTCAGATAGAGGTCCCCTATCTGAAAGTCCCCTTACATCTAGAAATCAAAGTCACATATACCATCCGTGGTCCTAATCAGCCCATCTGTAGGTCGCTGTCACCTTTCAAGTACTGAAAACTGTGGCAGCTTTGGTGACTATATGCAGATCTCCAAGGACTGCTCTGTTTGTACCCAAACTGTATGTGTGGGCTCCATCAGTACTGTCCTTATTAGCCAGATTTTGCCAGCATGGGGAAGAATTTTTAGTTCGCTTGACCTACCTGTGTATGGGCAGCTTGCGTAAATGGGCTACAGACTCAGAAATAAGTCAGCTATGAAATACATTCATGTGCTTCTGAGATAGTCTGACCTGTTTTGATTAGCTTTTCAGTTGCTTTAAACAACTTGTGAGTTTCAACAGGCTGCTTCAAATTTCTTGTGTATTCCCACATACTGTATATAGGGGAAGAAAAGCAGCTCAGAGCCAAACAAAAACCCATGTCCACCAGCCCCTAAGCTGTCGTAATGTATATAGCTGCAGAGTCCTATAATCTGAACCTCATTCCTCAGAGCAGTTATGACACTCTGACTTAGACAAAACGTTATTCATGGAGTACCACCCTGACGTTCAGATACTTAGTCAGATGTAGGTAACAATTTACTGACAGGCAAAATGGTGACGCTTCCTATCTAACCACAAAGCTCTACCCATTTTCCTAATGTGCAAGAGGATAACTGCCAAGACATACAGAATGGAAAAGTATAGGGAGTGATGTCCCTACCAAAAGTAAAAATGAACAGTACGTAGAAATGCTTCGATATGGTTATACGGCTTGGTGGACCTGAAGGCAACACCTGAAATGTTCTTTGTGTTGAGCCAGGATAAGGATAACTTCACATTAATATGCATGATATCTATGAACACTACAGTGACAGAGATAACTTGCAGACCTACTTAGAATCTGTCTAGACCGTGGCAGTGCTGAGGGTTGGCAGGAAAATCAGCTGGCTTAATCTTGATAAATGTGCTGAAGGCTGAATCACTCTTGATCATATCACAAAGGATTTTGCACAGTATGACGACGGTGATGGGAATGGATTAATCTAGTCAGACCTTCACCTTGAAGTTTGGAAAAATTCTGTTAAAACTTTTCTAACATCTTTTTTATTTTTTTATTTTAAAGTGTCAATCAAATTTTTATATTTGCTGTCCCACATGAGATGTGCAGTCTAAAAAAAATGTTCATCAGCTTTTTAGCAAAGTGTTTCTTGAACTTGGCAAGAAATATATGAAACGATTACAGACATTCAAAAGGTGAGCTCAATACATCTTAAAATTATTGAAAAATAAATACTACATTAAACTTGTTTGAAATTTCAGGGTCTACCAACTCAGACTTTCAATATGCAGAGCTGCTGCAGACACGAATACATGATAAAGGTGTATTATGGCATGGCATTCAGGTGAGCAGTACTTAACACCTCCACTAAGGCAGCTGACCGACTCTCCAGGATATTTCAAATGTTACCAGACATTCAACACATGAACCATTCCTAACAAACACTTTTACATTAAAATGAACTTGTGGTCAGGCTACATTTACAACTATGTAGTGCAAGGACCTGCCTGGTACAGAATGAGGTAGGTTCGGCAGGTACTCATATCATGTATGTTCAGTAAATATAAAGTTGAAAGTAAAAACACTGTAAAGTCAGATTGTAATGGTTATGGTGAGTATAATAGGTCACTGCAAAGGACAAGGGGGCACTTTTTGCATCTGGGGGAAATGATAGAGAAAAGATTCTTCACAGTTAGCGCTTCTTACTTAAAAAGGAACAGTTCTTTGAGAAAAGCAATAATTAATTAAACATTATATACTGCCCTACAAATAGTGCTGCATGTATGATAACCACCACCATCATCATCTCACCTCTGCTTCCTCATCTGCATGTCCTCCATTACTCCTTGAACATGATCTACATTTTCCTTGTTTTCACCCGAGACATCCTTCCCATAGGCCCATGAAGCCTGATTTGAAATTTGATCCACCAGACCCTGTCCTTTCTCACGTAAGCCTTGAAGACCAGTGTCTAGTAAATAAAAAAAAAATCAGAATCTTTGTCACAATAGACCAATGCCAATTGTCAAACATATTCTGACACTGAAGATGGTCAATATTAGAGGTGCGGCCAACAAGCTAAGCACTGCAGGACATGGTTCTATTGGACCGCTTTTACGCAGACGATCGAATTCCATGCCCTGTTGCAGGGTCCCCCTAGAGGTAGGCTGCGACCGAGCACGTAGCGACAGCTGCCCAGGGACTGGCGCCTGGCCCACTGACCTCATCTCCCACCCCTCTATATACCTCTTTACAGCCCCTCTCTCCTACCTGCTCTGCTCCCCTCCTCCAAATGTTGAAATCCACCACCCCCTCCCTTTCTAGAC